AATCCTAGGGAAAAAAAAGAAATAGGGTCTTTGCAGATATAATTAAGGTAAGGATCAAGGTGAGATCATTCTGGATTAGGGTGGGGTGGGCCCCAAATCCAATGAGAGTGTTTTTTACAAGAGACAGAAATGAACACACAGAGACAAGGAAAAGGCCGCCACATGAAGACAGAGACAGGGCTTGGAGTCCTGCATCTAGAAGCCAAAGAACGTCAAGGGTTGCCAGCAGCCACCCAAAAGCCAGGAGAGAGACACAGACCAGATTCTTCCTCAGAGCCTCACAGAAGGAAACAACCCTGCCCCACCTCGACTTCTGTCTCTGGCTTCTAGAACTGTAAGGAAAGACAGTTCTGTCTTAGGACTCCCAATTTCTGGTAATTTGTGACAGCAGATTCAGGAAAGCAACAACATGGACTGGCTCACATAGTCAAATGCTGGGTCCTTTTGCCCCGGGAGGTCCTAGAATGCAAGTTCCATCTCAGGGTGAAGGGAGGGTGCACGTGAGAAAAATGGTCAGAGCTGGATCAGTAAGTGTCCACTGTGACTCATTTCGATGTCTGTGTGTCTGTCCGCTGTCACGTGGACTTTAAGTAACATTAAGGCCCCCCACCACGGGTCTTGACAGATGACCTCGATTCGAATCCTGCACTTGGCCATTCCCTGCCTGTCTGACCTTGGCACGTAGTCGTCTCCCCTGGCCTCAGTTTCCCCACTTTGTATCGTGATGACTCTCAAGTTGCTAATAAGCTCCTGAAAGTGGGGGGGGGGGTCCACAGCTGCCGGGGAGCAACCCGCGCAAGGGCTGATGCAGCCGTGTCCCTTTTTCTTGAGAAAATGCAAAAAGCTGCTTTGGATTCTGCGGGAGCTTCATTTATTTACCACTGGGGAGACCTCAAGGGGGGGTGGCACCTGGGGCTCCTCGGAGGGGAGGACATTTGGCCCTGAGTATCTGGCATCTCTGCGAAACCAAGGCTCTTCCAAGCCAGGGTGGAGGTGTGATTTTTTCGCAGTTGGCCCCACAGAGGAAGGTGGCCTCGGGGAGGTGGGGAACACAGGGAGGTCATCCTCACCATCCTCCCAGACAGGGCTTTGTGGTGCTGTGTGTCTTCAGGAGCTCACCAGACCAGACCCCTCTGGGGTCTGGATCCCCTGAGGCCACACTGGGGGGGGGGAGGGTTCAGTGAGGACACAGGGTCAGGAGGTCCTGCCGGGTGCAGCCGCTGAGGCAGCAGTGGTGGGCAGGGTTGGTGGCCGCTTCCCGCCGGCGGTGGTGATGGCGAGAGGCCTGGGGCAGGGGCTGTGGAATGAGAACCAGCATGGGGTCCCCTTCGGCCACCAGCCCATGGAGATGTCGTCCTTCCAGCCACTGCAGCAGCTCACCTGGGGACAGAGAATTTCAGCATGGGCAGGGGACCCTAGAGGACCCCTCCCCAATATGCGCACACACCTGCACGCTCACGTCCTGCTGAGGGACCCACCGAATGCTCATCTTGTGCACAAATAGAAAGTGAGCACCTATTAAATGCCTACTGTCTACTGAGCACAGATATACTCCCCCATCCAGACGTGTGCACTCTCGACCCACACCCAAACTCAGGTCCCCTGCTGTGTACATTCCCACAAGCCACCTATCACGCAGACGCATAGACACTTTACAAAGCCAAGGACAGCAGCGGTGACATGTGACACATACATGACATATACGTATACCTGACATGTGACACCTGTGCAGGCAGTGGGCTCACATGGACACACACACACACACACAGGCACATACCCTCATAGCCCTTTCCAGCCCTCCCCCATGCACACCTCTGCACATCCAGCTGCATCTGTATCACAAAGATTCATACATATAGGACACACACGTGTGACACGTGGGCATACACATCCGCTTTATACCCTCAGCACCAGGGCGGGGCGCAGGGCGAGAAGAATGAGCACTGGCCCTCAACGCACAGTGCAAGGGGGCGCCAAAAAACTCAACAATGAAGATCAATCATATTTTAATGCAATATTTTTAAAAATAAAAAATTAGTGCAAAAAATAAATATTTACATAAAAATTTACATAAAATGTAATTCAGGCAGGATCTCACCGTGCACTTGCGAGACTGTCTCGCCCGCCACGCACTGATTTCTTGCCTGGCCGGGCACGCATCCTTCGCGCGCTTGCACACGCTAGCGCCGCGGGCAAGGGGACCCCGGTAGGTGCGTGCAAACCCAGCCGCCCGCCCCGACGCCCACCAGCGCCGCGCGCACCTGGCCTACCTAGAAACCCCAGAGCGCAGTCCCCGCCCGCCCCCACTCACGGTCGCCGCCAGCCACCCGCCGCCCGTCTTCGGAGGACCAGCGTGGGCCCCCGCACAACCGCACCAGGGCGCGCACGAAATGGTGGCCACACAACTTCTCCCGCGCTTCCGGAGTGGGCGCAGAGCCCAGGACGAGCGCCAGAGCCGGGCCGAGCAGCACCAGGGCCCAGGTGAGTGGGCGGGGGTCCATGGTGGCAGGAGGCCGGCCCCGGCGGGGACTCCTTTTTATAGGCATCCAGCCCGCCCCAGCTGAGGACCTTGGATGGGGACAGAGCATTCCGCGGACGGCTCAGGGAGAAGGTCAAGGGCGGGGTGAGTACTGAGTGCAAGTGTAGTGTAAACCCCGCAGTTGGGTTTTCTCTTTCTCTCTCTCTTTTTTTACGTAATCTCTAAGCTCCAGGTGGGGCTCGAACTCAGCACCGGAGACCATGACTTGAATGTTCCACCCACTGAGCCAGGCTTTTTTGTCGTGCCTGACTTAAGCTTTGATTGCCCAGGCATCCGTTTCAAAGGTAGCTATCTGGAATAAACCTATTTGCCAGCCACAGCGCTCAATAAACGGCCAGCTCTCCGCGCTCCGCCCCCCCCCTCCCCACCCCAGGCTGCCTTGTTTGAGAGCTCTTGGTTGCTTTTGAGAACTGGCCTTTGGGGCCACTTGTTTTTTCCCTTCTGGCGCTTTAAATTCCCACTCCTATGTTTTAGTTTTACCATAAGCAATGAGCCCTGGGAACCCCACGCCCCCATCCTGGACCCCAGTAAAAGCAGAGGCCCAGCCAGGGAACCTCCCACCCTCTCACTGTGTGGCCCGCCCTGGGGGTGCTGTGGGAGCTCCAGGTCTTGTTGGTAAGAAACCTTTACTTTTTTCAGTTTCCTGATGGGTGTTGCTGAAGGGTGTGCAACCACAGGGGCCAGTCCAACCAGACGCTGGATACTGACAGGCTGAGCCCTAACCTACAGACCCCCCGCCTCAACTCCTATGTGTAAGCCCAACTCCCCATCGTGATGGTGTCGTGACAGTGTCTCTGGACGTGGGGGCTCCTGGAGATCAGCAGGTAGTGAAGGTGGGGGCTCGCAATGGGGTCAGTGTTCTCCTAAGAAGGGGAGGTCAGAGAACGTGCCCCCACGCCCCTCCCGCTCCATGTGAGCACCCGGCCAGAAGGCAGCCATGTGCAAGCCAGGGAGCCTCCTGACCAGACCCCGGCCCTGCCGGCACCCTGACTTCCAGCCTCCAGAGCTGCGAGAAACTCCAAGTCCTCGGCGGGAGACGCTCCGCAGCCACACGCGGTGATTCGGGCCACCGGTGATTTGGGCCACCGGTGATTTGGGCCACCGCGGCCAGGGAAGGGAGCCGTGTGCTGACCAGCTCAGAACATTAAATTCCCGCTCTGCATCTGAAATCCACCAATAAAGAGTGAGCTGGGGAAACCCTAGGCCCACACCCCTGGACCCCAATAAAAGCAGAGCCCCAAGCCCGAGTTGGCTCCCTGTTTCCACCGGTGACCTCAATGGGTAACCCTAGGTCGGCTGTGTAACTCTGAGGTTTTGTGAGTAATAAACCTTTACTTTTTCAAAGTTTCATGATGGGTGGTGCCGAAGGGGGTCTTGCAATCATAGTAAGAACCACAACGGTGGTTTTAAACTCAACACTGGTTACTGAGAGGCTGAGGGCGCCACAAAACAGTGAGGGTCTCTCTGCCTGGGCCAGGGCCCTGGGTGTACCTCCCCCAGGGGGAGCACTGGCTGAGGGGTCTTTTTCACAACCACAACAACAACCACCATTTTAGAGAGGTGAACTAGATAAACTGAGAATGATTCCACAAGGTGGTGGTCGGGCAGCCGGCCATCCGAGACCAGGAGCAGTCAGAATCTTGTTGTCCTTATTCCTGTATCAGTAACTGAGGCTCAGAGAGGGGGTCACCACGCTTGCCGTGGTCACAGGAGGCTGGGGCTGTTGGCTGACTCTGTCTCTCCCCTATCAGGGTCTCCTGGGGCGGGGCAGGGGCTGCAGGGCCCAGAATGAAGCCGGCTGTGTTTGCTCACCGTAGACTTCAGTTTACCAAGGAGGGAAACGCGCAGAGAGAAGGGAGGATACTCCATCCAAGGCAAGGGAGAGCCTGAGCTGAAAACCCTCTCTTGCTCAGCCTCAGAGCAGCCCCCTCCAGCTTTTCACCAAAGCAGGTGGCTTTCCCTGGGCTAAGAGAGTAGGTGAGAGAGAGGGAGACTGTCTCTCTCCTGCCCTCTCTGTCTCTCGGAGTCTGTCTCTCCTTCTCAATCTCTCTATCTCTCTCGGTCTCTGTCTTTCTCTCTGTTATTCCTCATATCTGTCCAGCAGTCCCGAGGAAGACTTGCTTGGTCCCCGCTGATGTTGGATCTCTCCCCACAGCCTCCCACCCCAACCTTGCACTCTGACCCACGCCCCCACCCCCAGAGCAGCCTGTTCCTTCCACCCACCAAGAGCCTGTAATCAGTTCCTTAGGACAGAGCCAAGGCCAGCAGCTGGAGCTGGGGGTAGGGCTTCTGTCCTCCGGGACCCCAGCCAATGTCCCATCCTGCTGTCTCTCCTCCCCCAGCCTGCCTTGAGGCCCCCATTGTGGCCCCCAGGGGATCTCCATCTCCCAGCCCTAACTACATTCCTCCCCAGCTTACACCCCCCCAAAATTCCCCATCACCCAAGTCCAGCAACACACCATTCTTTCCACCCAACTTTATTCATTAAACAAATGCTCCCAAAGTCCCCTTTGTACCTACCCATCCCAGCCCCCAGGGAGCCTCCAGGTCAGAGGAGAGGGATCTGGACAGAGACCCCACTCCTGGGGTCAGAGGTAAGTACATGGCAGGTGAGGAGTGGCAGGAACATGCCAGGGAAGGCCGCAGGGAGGTGACAGCTGGGGTTTCGAGAGATAAATAAGAGTTTTCCAGGGGGCAGAAGTGGTAGAAAAGACTGCAGGCAGGTGAGGAGTGGGCGGGGGGGGGGGGTTGGGAGGGAGGGGCTGGCTTAACCTGCACCAGATGCTTTCTCACAAGCCTCCAGAAGCTGCCTGTGTACAGCAGGAAGCCAGCACCATTTATCTGTCCATTGTACAGGGGATGGAACTGAGACCCAGTAGGGGAGGCAAGTTGCCCACCATCATTCGGTAATTAAGTGGCAGAACCGCAGGCTCCAACAGCTGGGCTCTTAACCTCTGTACTCTGAACCTCTTCACTCTCATCGTGCTGTTCCCTCTGCCAAGAATGCCTGTCTTCCCTCAGCTACTGAAAAGCTCCTGTAAGTCTCCAGCGTCATCAACTGAGTGACCCTCCGGTCGGGATAGAAAGGGTCCCAGTATTCAAGTTGGCAAATGGAAGGCCCAGGATGCTCTGGTACAATTAGGGTGGACTGGGACCCCAGCCTCTCCTGGCCCCTCCCATGAGCCCAAAAAGTCACGCAGGCTCCCCCCCAGAAAGTGAATTTCCAACCAGGGCAGCTGCTTTTGTCTGTGGCTTCCTCCAGCAAAAGAGGGATGTTGGAACAGAAGCCTGAGATCATGTATTTAAAGATCTGCAAGGTCTTCACTGAGACAGGAAGCTCAGGGCCAAACCCTGAGAGGACAGGAAGATGGGAGGGGCTTAAGTTTGGCTCCTAGATTCTGGGGTCAAGGCACAGCAGGCCCCACCAAGGCATTCATCTTGAATCTTTACAAGTTCCTGAGGCCACAGAACTTCTGTTGCCCCACAAGCCAGGGATGCCCCCCAAATGCAATGTCATTTGCCCTCTGGGGGGTCTCTGTGAAGCAGGAAGCCCAGAGAGGGGCAACCTCCTGCCCAAGCTCACACAGCCAGTTCACAAAGACCAGAACCCAGAGGTAGGTGTGCAGGAGATATAAAAATGAAGTGAATGGGCTTCTCCCTCCAGACAAGCAGGGAAGGCGTGAGTTTCACACTCTCTGCTAGCCCTGGCTTGCACTCCATAGTGCATCCAGCTGGGGGCCCAGGGCACTGAATGTTGGCCGGTCTTGCGGGCTAGGGGCCCAGCACAGCTTCATGAGCTCATGAACCTGAGGGGGTGGGAAGAGACAACAGGGTCACATATGAGTGGTAGGAAGGACATGACTCCTATTCACAGTTTGAAAATATAAATTAGGGGCGCCTGGGTGGCTCAGTTGGTTAAGCTACTGCCTTCAGCTCAGGTCATGATCCTGGAGTCCCGGGATCGAGTCCCACATCGGTCTTCCTGCTCAGCGGGGAGTCTGCTTCTCCCTCTGACCCTCCCCCCTCTCATGCTCTCTCTCTATCTCATTCTCTCTCTCAAATAAATAAAATCTTAAAAAAAAAAAAGAAAATATAAATTAGATTCCCTCCCTCCCCTGCTCCAAAGCCTCCCATGGCTCCCTACAGGTCTTAGAACAAAATCTCATGCCCTCCCCTGTCTCCTTCCTCCTCTCTTGTTCCCTGCAGCCCCATCTGCCCCCATCTCATTATTTAAACGCATCAAACTCATTCCCACCTCAGGGCCTTTGCACACGCTGTGTCCGCCACTGAGAATGCCCTCTCCCAGCTTTCCCCATGGGTAGGCTCCTCCTCCTCCTTCAGGATCACCCCCTCTGAAAGGCCCCCCTGACCACCACCACACCCCCTCATTTCCTCCTGTTCAATTCTTTCTAGACATTGATCACCACCAGACCAGAATGTTCTTGTTAGCCTCTGCTGGTTACCAGGAGGACAGGGTAGTATCTGTTCTGTCCCCTGCTGGGTCCTCAGCACCCAGCACAGAGCTCGGCACACAGTCAACACTCAATAAACATTTGTGGCCTGGGCAGATACATTCATTTATTTATTTATTTTTTAAGATTTTATTTATTTGAGAGAGAGAGCACACTGCGGGGAGGAGCATGGGAGAGGAGAGGGACGAGGAGAGAATCTCAAGCAAACTCCGTACCCAGTGCAGCGCCTGATGTGGGGCTTGATCTCACCACCCTGAGATCATGACCCGAGTGGAAACCAAGAGTCATTCGCTTAACTGACTGAGCCACTCAAGTGCCCCTGGGCAGATCAGTTTATGAATGACCAACCTCATGTTAGACATTTCCACAAAAGTTGTGACGATAAACTGTAAGAGTCGTTAACATTTATGGAGTGTTGACAGCGTGCTGGACCCTAAGCTGAGCACTGGAGAGGTGTTAACTTGTCTAATCTTCCCCCACCCCATAAGGCATTGCTATTCCCATTTTTGAGATGGGCAAACTGAGGTTCTGAAAGTGTTTGCAACTTGCCATACAGTGAGAGAACAGCAAAATAGAAGCCAAACTCCCCTTCAGATTCATGCCCCAGGGTATGCTCTCAATCAAGAGACAACAGGAGGTGGGGAGACCCAAAGGGGCCAACTGGCTTGCCCAGGAAAATCCAGAGTGGGAAACTGAGGCAGGCCCTCCAGTGCTCACCTCACCAGGGCAGGCAGGAGGCGCCGGCAGCCTCTGGCCCTCAGCCAGCAGCTCCAGGAGGCAGCAGAGGGCCGGGACATCTCCATCACATGCCATCATCCGCAGGAACTCCTGGGGCCAAGAGGGAGCGCCCGAGGTGGGAGAGGTGCCATCCGTGAAGGAGGGAGGAGGGGCCGCCAGTGACTGGGGAGGGGGTAGGGGTAGGGGGGCAGGGGGGCAGCCATAGTGAAGGGAGGGAGAGAGTCATCCGCGGTGGGGAGAGGGGCCAGGCGTAAGGGAGGAGGAGGGGTCATCCGTGATGGAGGGGGAGCGGGCTGCCCGTGGTAATGGGGGTCAGCCTTAGTGAAGAGAGATCCTCCCCATTATAGAGGGCCTATATAATCCTGGGACCAGGTGACACTGAGCAAAAGAAGGACTCGGGCACAAACGGGACAGGGATTGGCCAGGAAGTGTTTGGGGAGAGGAGGGTGCTGGGGAATCCAGGGGTGCTGACTCACGGCTGAGGGGCTGCAACTCTTGTTGCCGTAGGTGAAAAGCTCGTACAGGACGACCCCGAAGCTCCAGACGTCGGACTGGCGCGAGAAGATGTTGTCAGAGAGGGACTCCGGGGCGTACCTGGAGGGGGACAAGGAAATGTTGGGATGCGAAAGTGAGGCAGAGTACGGGAAAGGGAACAACCCTGGGCGGGGGGAACTAGTCAGTGGTGGGTGGGTGAGAAGGTGAGGTCAGTCCCAGCTCCGGGGTCGGGGCTTCCCGGCCTGTGGGATGGGGTAGTCTCCAACCCTGCGGAGGGTCTGGGCGGGGTCAGGGCGGAGCCGTGGCTCTGGAGGGCGGGGCCAGTGCCGAGGGGCGGAGCGGGGTGGGACCAGGCTGTGGGGAAGGGACTGCACACTGGTAGGAAGGCCGTGGCCCGGCAAGGGCTGGGGCGGCGGGAGGGGCGGGGCCGGGGCGGGCCCAGGACAGTGCGGGGGAGGGGCGGGGGGGAGTGGGGAGAAGTGGGGGGCCTGGGCGGGGTCAGGAAGGGCCCTAGCAGTAGGGGCAAGGGCAGGGCCAATGTTGAGGGGGCGGGGCCATAACGCGAGGGGGAGGGGTCAGGACTGCGGGAAGGGCGGGGCCGTGGCGGGCTCACGGAAGTGAGAGCGAGGTAGGGTCCAGAGTAGTGGGGAGGAGAGGTGGGCCAGGGCGGGGTCCCCACCAGAAGATGGGGCTCTGGCCGGGCTCGCGGACCACGTAGTAGTCTTTGTCGAGCGGCAGCAGCTTGGCGAGGCCAAAGTCGGCGATCTTGACGTGCGTCTCGCTCTCCACCAGGATGTTACGCGCAGCCAGGTCGCGGTGCACGCAGCGGCGGGAGCCCAGGTACTCCATGCCCTGCAGGCGCGCGTGAGATACGGACTCCAGCATAACCTGGAATCCAGCCCAAACCCATCCCAGACCCCAAGCCTAACTCTGCCCTGGACCCATCCTGGACCCCTCCAGTCCTGACCTCAGCCCTAACTCAACCGCTCCTCCAACCTGACCTGGACCTCCAAACTTCAACCCTCAGCCTCCCCCGCGACTCTACGCAGACTCCCGCCCAGACTTAGCCACTTCAGCCCCCGCGTCCCGGGGCACGTCCCGCACCTTGCAGATCTGCGAGGCGTAGAGGAGCAGGCGGCTGGCGTCGAGGCGCGCGCGGTGCCGCTGTAGGAAGTCGCGCAGGCAGCCGCTGGGCAGGTACTCCATCACCAGCCGCAGGCTCTGGCGGCCTAGGTGAGGTGAGGGGAGGCTGAGAGGGGTCGCCACAGGGCCCAACTCTGTCTGCTGCCCCTCCCGATTTTTCCTCACAGATCAGAGTACGACCCTGGGCCCCTCCCAGCCTCAATATTGCTTTCTGTAAAATGGGAACAGCAACCATGACACTTTTTGCCAATGGCTCTTGAGTACTTTCTACAATACACACTGATTCATTTAAACTTGATAATGACCCCTTTTTCAGGTGGAGAAATCGATGCTCAGAGAGGTTAAATCGCCTGCCCAAGGTCTCCCAGCTGCTAAGGGAGAGAGCAGGAATTCGAACCCTAGGGGATCCAAATCTGGATTAAGCAAGAGCATCAATAGCGCCCCTCCTGGTGTTCCCAGACCACCCTAAAATGTTACTGCAGGAGGATGAGGGCGTGTGATTTGAAGAGCACCGGTTTGGGAAGTGGCTCACCTGGGCCATAGCTGACACCACGGTACTTGACAATGAAGTCACTGTGGAGGGCTTTGAGGATCTGGATCTCCCTCCGGAAGTCCCTCTGCTGGTCTGGCCCGCTGTGCTGCAGCTGCTTCACTGCCACTAGGGCGCCCGTGTTGTCACCCAGAGGGTCATAACGGCACAGTTCCACGCTGCCGAAGTTGCCCTGGGGGACAGCAGGGCTGGTGTCCAAGTGCATGGGTGCATGGGCACTTCCCCGCCCGCCGCAGCCCAGCCCACCTCACCTTGCCCAGCTGTGAGATGTACTTGAGGTGTCTCTCCTCAAAAATGGTAGGGTCCTGGTAGGCGTAGAGCTGGGCGCCATTCCACAGCCCATCACGGGGCGCCAAGGCACCGGGCGTGGGGTCTGAGAGGAGCTCATAATCTGTAGGGCACAGGTAGTAAGTGACCGGCACATTGGGCCTTGGGTCCCCCTCCTAAGCTGACTTGCTTGGGGACTTCGATCTGCATGCTTACCTTCTCCGTACAAGCCTATGGGTACTTTGCAGGGGGGGGGGGCTGGAAAAAGAGGCCAACTGGGCAAAGGCAGACCCCTTATGTGCTCTGCATGCTGTGCAAACTACATATAGCTTTGGAGACAGAAGGGCATTTCCCAGACTCCACCACTGTGAAGTGTGGTACATGACTGAGCTCAGTCTGATGAGGGAGAAGTGCTGGCGGCTCTTTCAGGCCTGGCCCATGGAAACCTGGCACGGGACCCTCCACAGTCTCTCTCTCTTGTCTGCAGAGGATGCCACAGGGACCTGAGGCCATGGGATGGGTAGAGCCACAAAGGGAGAGGTGCCTGTTGACCTGGACACCCTCGCTGAATGAAAGGTAAATATCCATCACGTTCGATCTGGAGCCAAGGGGGTCTGTTTGTTACAGCAGCGGTCAAGCTTCAGCTGTTACAGTCACCAACCACTCCAACCCTGCCAAGCACACAGGGCCGGCTCTGCATGCAAATTTCAATTTTTTTTTTTTCTCTCTCGGGGCCTAATATGACAGGCCAGCGCTGCCCACCCTGCCCGTCCCAGTGGGCACCTGAAGTGATGAGGCTGTTCAGGTCACGGATGATGGCACGGAAGGAGGGTCTCTGGCCTGGCTCATAGGCCATGCACTGCTGGATCAGTATGGCCAGCTCCATCCACTTGGGGGCAGGCAGCTGCTGCCGCTCCTCGTAAAACTGGAGCTTCTGAAGTTGAGAAGAGTGGCTGGTCATTCTCAGTGCACCCTCAGGAGCCCCCCACCCTAGACCAGCCCATCCTCCCCAAGCTGGACCTCAGCCCACCCTTCTCCCAAATGGGCACTCTAGAGGCCAATGAGGGTGCTCTGACCTTGGCGGGATCCAGGGTGCTGATGGGCATCGGGATCCCACTGAACACCTCCCAGACTGTGGCACCAAAACCCCACTTGTCAGCTTCCAAGCCGAGTGTCCGGGCCTCCTGGAGACACTCGGGGGCCACCCAGGGGATCCTGTCAGTGAGCACTGGGGAGTGGGGCTGGGGTCAGGGGTCTGCTTCCCTGCCCCACTAGGCCCCTCCCTCCACCCTTCCGGACTTACTCTCCCGGCTTAGCACAGAGGGGCTGACACCAGGATCACTCAGCTTGATGAAGGGCAGGTTCCCATCAGCCCCTTCGCGAGCCAGGAGCACCTTCCGGGCTGAGACATTGCCATGGGGGAGGCCTTTGTCTTCCTGGGTGGGCCAGGCATAGAGAATGCCAGGGAGGGTTTGCTGGATGAATAGTCTGGCTGGAGAACCACTACACATCTTTCAAAGCCCACCTGGGGCTGCTCAGACCATACTTCTAGACCTTTCCATAGACTACTGGCCTGTCTTGCCTCCTCTGGTTCACCCCCTGTGCTGCCCTGTGTCCCTCCCCTTCAAACCCACCCTGTGGCTCCCCACTGCCTTTAGGATAAAATCAGAGGTCCTCAGCCTAGCATTCAAGGCCCTTTGAGATACTTGCTCACTCTTCCTGTGACATTCTCTCTTCCACACCTCTACCCTGGTCTCCTGCCAACTGAACTGCTGGATGCATCCCAGGACATGCAACTCATCTTCTAAGCTGCAGGCCTTGGCCCAGGCTGTGCCCTCAACCTGACACACCCTCCTTGTTTTCTCCTCTTGATGAGCTTCTATTCAACCCTCAAGGCCCAGCTCCCATGTTCCTTCTTCTGGGAAGCCTTCCCCCTGCCTGGCCTCATGGCTCACTACTCCCCACTGAAATCCACCAATGACCACCTGTTCCCTTCTCCCGCTCTTACATCTCTGAGCTTGTATGTATGCTGTTTCCTAAAATGCCCTCCCCTTGCATCCTTGCCAAACTTCTACACATACCACAGAGCCCACTCTGAATTGCCCCTCCATTCTCTGCATAGAGGGTAGAGCAAGCAGAGGAGCACTCACCAGATAGTTGAGGGCATAGGCCAGCTGTTTGATCACCTGCAGCTTCCAGCTGGCTGGCACCAGGTGGCCAGACTTGCGCAGGTAGGTGTCCAGCGCTCCCAGGTGTACAAATTCCTGTACCATGATACCTGGCAGCAGGCAGCAGGGAGGGGCAGGGCTGGGAGGCAGGACTGCATTGGTGTTGAACAGGCTCCGCCCCACCCCACCCTGAGGGGTCCCTGGGGCTCTCAGTTTGGACTGCTCCCTCCCTCCTTACCCTGCTCACCTCTCCTCCTCCTCACTTCCCCTATGGCAACCATTTCCCGAGATGCCTGGAAGGGCACTTCCAGCCCTTTGCGTGTTCTGTCTGGAACATACCGCCTCCTCTCCTCCTCTTCCCTAATTCCTACTTATCTTTGCCTTCTCTGCCTAGAACTTATCTTTGCCTATCCAGAATCATCGCCTAGCCTCCAAGCTGGGCTAGCGGCCTCTGACCACCCACAGTGGCCTGCGCCACCCCCTCACACACGATCATGTATCACACTGCCCCGCCTGCCGTGTTCCACACTGTGAGCGCAGCTCCTGGCCCCTCCCGGGCTCCCGATAAATAGTTGCTGTACTAATCAGGTGGAACTGGAGCTTGGAGAGGTACCTTGGCCTTTGCAAAGCTACAGAGGGGGTACACAGCGAGGTGGGATTGGAACCCAGGCCTGTCCGACTTGAGATAATTCTGTGGGGCTGGGTATCGGTGGGAGCTTGGAGCTGCTGCCCCAAAAGTGACAAATGAAGGACACAGGTAACAAGGTGAGGGACCCTGGGGGACACGGGGCCCCAGCCAGGGCGGGCTCTGGATTCGTATCGCTAATGCTGCCATAGACCGTCTCCCTGAGGAAGGGTGGGGGCAGGGGCGAGGGCTGTTGTCTCACTGTCTCCGGCCATGCACACGCCATGGAGCAACACGAGATGCTGGTATGACACTTGGCTCATCAAACTCGCTGCTTCCAGAAATGACTGGGGAGAGGAGAAGGGAGAGAAGGTCCATGGGTTCCTCCCGCTCCAGGGTCAGGCCAAGCACCCCAAACTTGCTGCTCACAAGTCGGCCTCAGGAGGACACCTCACCACAAGCCTCCTTTGACCTTGGAGTCCACCACTGGTATACACAGGACTCTATCATGGTTTTCGGATGGGGGCTGGAAGTCCCCACTGTAATCTGCCTTGGGTCCCTCACACAGAAGTGGGAGACTTGGGGTTCAAGGAGGATTCAAGCCTTCCCTGGGTGGCCGAACCCTTGCTGATGCTTCCATCCACATCACTCCCCTCTTCTCCTTTGCTCACTTCTCTCCAGCCCAGTGGCCCTTCTTCACTTTTTTTTAGGTTGTATTTATTTAAGTAATCTCGGCACCCAATGTGGGGCTCGAACTCACGACCCTGAGATGAAGAGTCATGTGCTCTTCCAACTGAGCCAGCCAGACGCCCTCTCCTCACTGTTCCTTAAACATGCCAGGCACAGGGGCGCCTGGGTGGCTCAGTCAGTTAAGTGTCTGCCTTCAGCTTGGGTCATGATCCCGGGGTCCTGGGATTGGGCCCTGCATTGGTCTCCCTGCTCAGCAGGGAATCTGCTTCTCCCTCTCCCTTGGCTCCTCCCCCTGCTTGTGCTCCCTCCTCTCCCCTCTCAAGTAAATAAATAAAATCATTAAAAAAAAAAAAAAAACATGCCAGGCACAACCCTGCCTCAGGATCTTTGCACTGGCTGTTTCTTCTATTTGGTGTACTCTTTCTGTTTCCATCTAAATTCCCTGACCCTTCTGTATTTCATGGTTTGGAGATGCTGCAGCTACATTTCTGTTGTTTTAAGACCTGTGTGTTTTTAAATTTCCCTGAATACACAACGCTTTCTCCAGCCAGTCTTGACCCCAAAGTCTTGGTCCCCATCATACTCACCTCCATGCAGTTTTTATGTTTGGCATCCATCACTTTGAGCAGCACCTCCGTCTCCCGGGCCTCCCCCTCCACGACCTCGTGGCGACAACCTCGGTATATCTTGGTGAAGGACCCGTGACCCAGGTTCTCATGCTGGAGGGTGAGGGGGCAACATGAGAGGCTGATAAGGGGGCTCCTGGTGGGATCCTGGCCCCTGGCCCTGGTCCCATTTTACAGATAATGAAACAGAAGCACAAGGAGATTATGTCACATGTTCGAGGCCACACAGCAGAGATGTAAATGGGGTGCGATGTGGACCCAGTGTCTGAATCCCAACTGAGGTCCCCCCTCCATTTCCTGGGGCCGCTTACCCACTCCAGGCTGTCAGCAGGGATCTTGTGAAACGTCATCTGATTCAGCTGGCATTGGGATTGGGGCTGAACAGGGGATGAAGTGGGTGTGCTGCAACCCCTCCGCACCACAATCAGGTTGGACTTTTCTACGGGGAGGAGGTGGCAGGAGAAAAAGAGAGGTCAGAGGTGGAAGGCCCCCTAAGGTTTGCTCACTCCCTGCCTTAATTTGGGGTCTCTCCCAGAAGCCAACCCTGAGGTGAGGACTCCAAGGTACGTGGTTTATTGGAGACTCTAGGAAGCCCCAGTCGGGGGGGGGGGCGGTTACCGATGAGCAGGCAACCTAGTCTCAGTTCTGCTAGAGATTCTGGAAGACTCTGAAGAACTCACACCTCAGAGTTGTCCCATCCAAGGGGTTTGTCTGAGAGTGAAATTCTCCCAGAGGAAGAGGCAAGAGATGGAGAGAGTCTAAGAGTCAGTGACATCTCTCAGATCCAGCTGCAGCTGGATTTCGTCATGCCTCAAGATAGCATCTATTCCACAAGCACATAAATCACCCTTTCTTCCCTAACCCATCTTGACCCGCAATCTCTGCCCCGTGCCACACAAGGCAGGTCCCCAGCTCGATTGCTCCACTCAGGGGAGGGGGCGGGCTCACCTTTGGGTTTGGGGGTGCAGCAGAAGGTGAGGTTCAGCGCAACCCCGTCCACGTGCAGCCCGCCATCCCAGCAGGCTGCCAAGAGCTCTCGGAGACTGCTATGGGGACGGCCAAGGCCAGCCAGGGAGAAGGTTCCCGTGGGGTCACACCGGATGAGGCAGCCCTTATAATCAGGACCCAGGGGGGTCTGCAAGGAGGAGTGGTCCCTGAGTGGAAGTGGGCAGTACTTTTCCCTCACCCATCTTCCTCCAGCACCACAGGCTCATTCCAATCTCCAAGCCTTTGCATATGCCGTTCCCTCCACTGGGAATGCCTTTACCCTCCGCTTCCTCCAGGAGCAAATACTGATTCATCTTTTAGGTCTCAGCTCAAATGTCATCTCCTTCAGGAAGCCCTCCCTGCCCACGTGGCTCCTAGGGGTGGACCAACCTGGACACAGACAGTGAGGAGGAAGCAATCAAAATCCTGGGGACTGCGGCGGAGAACGTAGGAGCCAGGAAGTGAGCCCCCAGTCTTGAGCTTGTTGATGGCAAAATCCAGGCTGTGGAGAAAGGTGGGAGGAAAAAGAGACACAGAGATGGAGGCCGACTTGGGTTTTCACCTTCCCGGTTCCTCTGAAGCCCTGGGACCCTCACCAGCTAACATTCCCTCTCTCCTTCCTATTTTTTATTTGACAGAGACACAGCGGGAGAGGGAACACAAGCAGAGGGAGTGGGAGAGGGAGAAGCAGGCTTCCGGCTGAGCAGGGAGCCTGATGCGGGGCTCGATCCCAGGACCCTGGGATCATGACCTCAGCCGAAGGCAGACGCTTAACGAATGAGCCACCCAGGCGCCCCATCTCCTTCCTATTTTTAAAATGAGCCAAAAATCAGGGCTTCTACTAGGGGGTTAAAGAAGAGGCTGCAGGTGGAACCTGGTGCCATCCATCCCCAGGAATCGGCCCTGGCGCCCTGAGGAATCAGAGAGAGGGAAGCCACTGCCCTGGACAGCCGCAGAAGGGGAGAGCCTAGTCTCATTGGGCGCCAACCATGCACCAGGCGCTGTTCCAGCTCACTTGACCCCTCTCCAAGGCTCCTGGGAGGGGAGGACACTGGGGCAGCGAGAAGGGGAGTGCCCAAGATTCGAACCGACTTCTGGCCGCAGAGGGCAGGCATGGGGGGCGGACCCTTACGTACGTGATGGGGCCGTGGCACTGCTCGGCCACCTCCTCCAGCAGCCGCGGCGGCGCAACCTCCTTGCAAAAGAAGTGCCTGGAGTCGGAGGTCAGCCTGAAGTAGCCGTCGACGAGCGCCACGAAGGACAACGCGGCGGGCAGCCCCGGGAACTCGGCCTCCTGTGAGGATCCGCGTCAGCGCCCGCTACGCCCGAAGGCGACAGTCCCACGTCCCCGCAGTCGGGGTTAGGCGGGAGGGGAGAGGGTCCAGCATTCACCAGGATCTGGTTGTCTGTCCTCGTGACGGTGACCAGGCGGTGCTCCCCGGCCGGGCCAACACGCGGAGCCTGCTTGATGCTGATGTCCACAATTTCTGGAAAGTCGCAGAAGGGCTGGAGGGCCTGGGAACGAGGGGGGGTGGGGAGCTGAAGCTGGCGGTTGCGTCCCCTCGGAGCCCCCAGTCCCTCTTGGAAGCCTGGACCCCACCAACCCACGCCTTAAGCCCTGACCCTCCAAGCCTCTCCCAACCCCGACCCCTTCCCACCTCGGCCCTGCCAAACCCCGGGCCCTTCTATCAATCCTACCCCTCCCCAGCCCATCCCCAGTGTCTCTCATCGCACCCCTGCTCAACCCCATCTCCTTCGGTCGGCCGATGCCTTCCCTGAGCCCCTCCCTCGCTTAGCTCCACTCCACCTCCGCGGCTCCCTCAGTCCAGCCGGGAGCCCCGCCCCGTCTCAGTCCTGACTCCTCCCCCCGACCTTCAGGTAGCCCCGCCCTGAGCCCCCCGCCCAACCAGTCCCCTCCCTCTAAGTCCCGCCCATTTTTTTTCACTCCCGCCCCCACCCGTCGCTCGGCCTCACCTCTCACTCAGCGGGCCCCTATCGGAACCCTCAGTCTCTCCCCTCCTTCGCCCCGCCCACTCTCCTGCCCCTCCCTCCTAGGCCCCGCCCCCGCCGTTGGCCCTGCCCAGCAGCCGCCCACACCTCTTGTCCTCCTGGACTCCAGGCAATGCCGGTGTCACCAGCCACTCGGAGCAGCCCCTGCGCATCCAGACCACCAGCAGCCCCGGGGAGGCTCACGAGGAAGGTCTCGACCGCCCTGGCCGGGTCGAGCCTCTCCAGGTCCATGATGTACTTGGCCATGAGCGAGTGCCTGTCAGCCTGGCAGGCGGTCACGCGGCGCAGGGCCCTGCGCACAGTCCTGCGGATGCGCTTCCGCGTCACGAAGCTCAGGCCCTGGATCAGGTCGCGCAGGTCGGGGGGCAGGCAAAACTTGTAGCTACGAGTGAGGGTAGCGAGTCCTCACTGTGGGGAGGGATCTCCACAGGTACGGACAGGGACACACACAAACCCGAATTTTAGTTGAAGGGCTGAAGTGTGGCCTCAGCTGGTGGGCAGGAAGCACACACGGAGACACTCAAGGACACACATGCGGGAAGGACCACTGGGGTCCACAAGACAGACAGACACACACAGGCCTTTAGCAGCAGGAGGGAGGCAGGGACTGGAGCCTCAGTGGTTCGGTGGGGTCCTGGGTCACATGGACACACTGCGGGCTTGTAGGTGGGGAACCTCATGGGAGCCTGAGCTCTAGGGATGCCCCAGTGGAGCCACATTTGCTCACTCTCAGATAGACGCTGGGTATCACAAGCTGGAAGCCCTCACCTGACAGTTTTCAGCAGTTCCTCAGGCTGCTGAGCCTGCTCGTGGGCCATCCGGGCCAGGTCCAGCACCGCCAGGCTGAGACATTCACCCTGCTCCTTGAGACTGAGGCCCACGGGGAGGTGGCCACTCACCAGGTCATTCCGGTGCTGGGGGCCAGTCACAGCCCAACCATGAGCCCTGATGTTGCCCTGCAGACCACCCTACCCTTGGGTCGATTCCCAACCCTGGGCTGCCACAGAGAGGGTCAGCCAAGGCCGCCCAACTGCGAGCCTTGATGTTGCCCTGTGGACCCCAGCCCCGGGCTAAGCCCCATGCAGACCCCTACCTGGGCGAAGAGGTGCTCCAGGACTGGTAGGTCAAGGATGGCGCTGGCCAAGTCCTTTCGTAGCCCAAAGCGGTGGCACTTCTCTAGCCCAAACCAGTTGGGGAAGTAAAAGCTGTTGGGGAAGGGGAGAAGCCTGGAATAGGGGTAGGGAGGGGTGGAAGACCGTGCTCAGACCTCACAGAGCCCAAGTTGTACCACTGACTTGTTACGTGACCTTGGGCAAGCAATGCACACCCTCTGGCCTCAGTTCTTCATCTGTGCAATGAGCAGTGATCACATCCTCCCTGGGGCACCACCGGGAAGTGCAGGGAGATGATAAGGTTGTAGGATCACTGTTGTTTTAAACTCCCCTTGCCCTCAACAAAAGGCATCCCCTCTTGGTAACATTTAACCCATGCCTGTGGCAGTAGGGGTGATGTGCTTCCTACCGGAGCCTGTAGACCAGGACTTGGGTGCCCGAGTCCTCCACGGAGAAGACGTGGCTTGGGGGGAACCAGCAGGACAGATCCTCCGTGGCCAGAGCAAAGAGGGAGTGGTACACAGGCAGGATGCCTGAGGGGATGCCCCCATCAGCACCTTCCTAAATTTCCCCATCTTGTCCCTCGCAAGGCTGCCATGGTTACGAACCCCATGCAGCCCTGCAGGGCTCTTTCTCACCGTGGGCTCTCACACTGTGTCCCACCCCTGCTCACACACACTCCAGGGCTCCCCATTGCCCTTAGCAGAGAATCCACACACCACCTGCTTCCTGGGGCTCCCTGACCTTCTCCCCAGAGTGCTCCTTCCACTGTACACTTTACCTCAAAGGATGACCAACTGTTTGCCCTCATGTGCCTCCCAGTCTTTGCACAGCCTTTCTCTGAGCATCTTCCTCCATTTCCAAACTCTTATTCATCCCTCAAAGCCCCAGCTCCCATGCTGACTCCACTTGACAGCTATTCCAGCTCCCAATCTAGGCCTCCCACAGCCCTACTCCTCTCTTTGGCCCAGTCTTCTAGGGACCCACTCACCACTGGCCTTAGCAGCCCAAACACACAGCTCTTCAGCTGAATGATCCCCAAAGGAGAAAGATAGGCGCTGTGGGGGTCCAGGGCCCCGAGGGGGCAGCAGCACGTGCAGGGCACCAGCTTCTGAAGACGAGAGGCTGCAGGAACGCTGAGGAATCAGGGGTGTCTCCTCGCTTGGAGGTGCCATAGGTATAGCCTGTCTGGACACAAAGAGAGGCAGCCACTCAGTTCTGGCCAGAGGGAAAGAGACTACAAAGCTTCTAGGTGTGTGTGTGGGGGGGGGGACAGAAATGCTGCAGGGTGAGGTAGGGTTGAAGCTGGTGAAAGAGGGAAGAGAGGGGAACAGAGACACACAGAAAGAGAAAGACAGATGGAGAGGGGCGCCTGGGTGGCTCAGTTGGTCAAGCATCTTCCTTCAGCTCAAGTCATGACCCTGGGGTCTGGGATCGAGCCCCATGGAAAGCCCCACATCGGGCTTCCTACTCAGTGTGGAGTCTGCTTCTCCCTCTGCCTCTCCCCCTGCTCACGCTCTCTCTCAAGCACACTCTCTCTCAAATAAATAAATAAAATATTAAAAAGAAAAGAGAGAGCTGGAGAAAGAGAGATGGGGGGAGCTGAGTGTGCAAGACTGGTGAGGAGCCATAAACCCCCCCAGTAAGGGCTATGCTGGGGTCTGGAGGATATTCTACACTCTAATTTGTGTTGATACACATAATTTGTGTGTATTCTTGTCAGTCCAGGACAGACATCTCCAGTCAATCTGCAGCCTCCCCATCTATCTACATTACTCCAGAGCCCCTGCCCCCAGGCAGGCATGAGCAATCAATCACAGATGTACAGATTTGCAGACCAAGAAGCAGATAGATACTGGTTCGTGTACATGGGTGGCCCATCACTTCCTGCAGGTCTAGGAGACTCAAGCTCTTCTGGGGTTGGGGCTGGAAGCTTTTCTAGCTGGTATGATGTATGCCTTGCAGCATGCATTAGATCCAGACTGATGACTCAGTCAGTAGGGATCTCTGTGTCTTATCTGCCCACCACCATCACCATCTCTGTCCCCTTTATCACTCCCAATGTTTAGACTCCTGTAGCAAGAAGCCCTCCCTGGAATGGGCCTAGGAGGAAATTGCCCCTCACCCTTTATTACCAGAATTCAGGACCCCTGGCTAGGCAGAGGGAAGGGCTGGACTTTGAGCCAGCCAGGAAAAAGGAGTAGTAGATGGACAAGATCCACTTACATTGACCTGAATAAGGAAGATACAAAGAAAATATTGAGTAAAAAACCATGTTCCAGGGGCACCTGGGCGGTTCAGTCGGTTAAGCGTCTGCCTTTGGCTCAGGTCATGATTCCAGGGTCCTGGGATGGAGACCTGCGTCAGGCTTCCTGCTCAGCAGGGGAATCTGCTTCTCCCTTCTGCCCCTCCCCCCTGCTTGTGCACTCACTGTCTCTCAAACAAATAAACAAAAAACAAAAAAACCACATTCCAGAATAATAGTAGGACGTGGAGGAGGGATAGCATTAATGAGGTTTTAGCATACCCAGCCCATAAGCCTGGAGCTGGGATAGGGAAAGACCTTAGGCTCTGGGTTCAAATCCCAATCCCATCATACTCAAGCTCTGTGACCCTGGCAGGACTCCCACAGCTGGGACTCCACTTTCTCAGCTGTGAAATGGGCTGACTCCCCACCTGCCTTGGTTTGCTGAGCTGAGCCCAAGCTCTCAACATTTTTAATCCTCACCAACTGGCACAATGCTTGGCGACATGCCCTGCGAGCACTTGACAAAGGCCAGCTAAACCAGACAGGAAGGTCCCTTGACACAGTGGTTTAGTGGTTCCTATGGTGGAGGGAGGGCATGAGGGGAAGGGAATTTTCCCCTAGGGACACCCCCATGTCACCAGCTCCCAGACCAGGAATCAGAACATTCCCAGTCCCAGGAGCCCTGGGGCCCCTGTCACTCCCTGCAGAGGTGATCACTGTCCTATTTCTAATAGTTGACTTAATCATGGTCTTTGCACTTTTATGTAACTGGAATCACACAATGTGTATCTTTTGTTTAAAATCAATCTTAAAGATATGTATATATTTTAGGGCGCCTGGGTGGCTCAGTTGGTTAAGCGACTGCCTTTGGCTCAGGTCATGATCCTGGAGTCCCGGGATCGAGTCCCACATCGGGCTTCCTGCTCAGCAGGGAGTCTGCTTCTCCCTCTGACCCTCTTCCCTCTCGTGCTTTCTATCTCTCATTCTCTCTCTCTCTGAAATAAATAAATAAAATCTTTAAAAAAAAAAAAAGATATGTATATATTTTAAATATTGAAGGAGAAAAGAAAAAGAAAAGTCAGAGGTGGTGCTTGGGACACAGAAAAATGCCCCTGCTTTATTATTATTTTATTTATTTTTTTTTAAAAAGATTTTATTTATTTATTTGAGAGAGAGAGAATGAGAGACAGAGAGCACGAGAGGGAAGAGGGTCAGAGGGAGAAGCGGACTCCCTGCTGAGCAGGGAGCCCGAGGTGGGACTCGATCCCGGGACTCCAGGATCATGACCTGAGCCGAAGGCAGATGCTTAACTGACTGAGACACCCAGGCGCCCTGTTATTATTTTTTAAAGATTTTATTTATTTATTTGACAGAGACAGTGAGAGAGCACAAGCAGGGGGAGCAGCAGAGGGAGAGGGAGAAGCAAACTCCCCACCAAGCAGGGAGCCCGATGTGGGGCTCGATCCCAGGACCCTGGGATCATGACCCAAGCTGAAGGCAGACGCTTAACCATCTGAGCCACCCAGGCGCCCCAAAATGCCCCTACTTTAACACCCTAAGTCCCACATTCCCTACAGTTGGTTGGTCACCCTAAGCTCTGGCCTGGGTGGGTGGAGGCTGGGAACTGTGCCCCCAGGGGCATGAACTCCAGGCCCAAGGCACAGTGATTCACTCAGGTCCGGAGAGCTGGGGCTTTGAGGTCTCATTTTATGCAGAAAAAGCAGAGGCCACAGAGCCAGCCCCTCCCAGCTCTTGTCTGTCTGGCAGCTTTCCTCAGAGGCCTTACCTTGTCGCCAGCCACAGCCCTTCACATACCCCCCCAACCCCCACCCCAGAGCCATGTGGCCCCACCAGCTCTTACCTGGCAGCTGGGAAGCCTGGGTTAAGGACAGGAGGGCAGAGCCGGGCGGCAGCCGGAGGAAAGTCCCAGTCGGCTCCTTCCTGTGTGGGCCCCTGGGCTTCCTGAGCTGCTGTCACTTACCGAAAGTCATGGCCATGTGGGGGATGGGGACAGGGAGGGGAGAGGGCCTGGCTGCGGAGGGGCAGAATGTTACAGAAGCCTCCACAGGCAGCGGCCCTCCTTGGACCATTTCCAGAATGCTGGAAACCCTGGACCTAACGTGGGAGGGAGTAGAGCGGTGAGCAGGGGTCAGGTCTGATCATTTTTTTCACGCCCCTGAAGTTGTCGTGAGTGGAGGAGGCAGGAGGCTAGGGCAGCATCCCGGCGAGACCCAGCCCAGTGCCCTTACCCGAGAAAGTAGAGTTTGGGGAATAGATTTTAGAGGACTCTTTCATGTCCATAACCCCATCACATGTCCTGGCACAAAAATGGCTTTGGTATGTATGTATTTTGTTGACTTTAGTTCGATCACCCACAGACACTTATGGGGCACCTACCAGAGCAGCCCAGTCTCTGCCTAGTGGAGCTGACAGTCTAGTGGGGGAGATGATATTAAACTATTACCCAGGGGCGCCTGGCTGGCTCAAGTCAGAAGAGCATGCGACTTTCCATCTCCAGGTTGTGAGTTCAAGGCCCACGTTGGGTATAGAGATTACTTAAATAAATAAATAAACTTAAAAAAAAATAAACCCAATAATTGTCCCAGTGACCCCTCAGGGCCAGGCTGCTAGGAGAGGCCCTGAGTCTGGGAGGGCTTCCTGGAGGAGGTGGCTTTGATACTGAAATCCAAGGACAAGTGGGATGAGCCAAAGAGTGATCTGGAGGTATGGGGAGTTCCTGCAGAGGGAACAGCCCTGGAAAAGGCTGGGAGACTGGGCCAGGTCACAGTGTTGCTGAAGGGCAGGGTGTTAGGGACCTAGTGCTCTGAGACTTGCTTGGAAGCATCGGTGGGGTTTGTGGGTGGAGGGAGGGGTTAAGTGTAACCTCGGCGCTGCTGGAGCCACAGCCGGCTAGAGGCAGGAAGTGCTGCACAGGGACTTAGCCGTAGCATTTCTCTTTTACTTCCTGTGTGGCTTCAGCAGAGAGGAATGCAAACGTTACTCCCATCCCTGGCCCTGAGGTGGAACCCCAGCCCTCCGGGAAGCACAGTAAGTTGCTGGAGTTTCTAGGCCCCTGACAACTCCAGTATGATGGTCACTGTGGTATTTTTGAGAATGAGCAGCAAGGGAACAGGGTTAGGACAAAGGTAACACCCTTGGCCCCAGAGAGGGGTCTGTGAAGGCTCCATCAGGAAGTTTCAGGGAGGCAGAGCCCAGAAAGCTTGCTCAAGAACAAACTGGAGGGGCACCTGGATGGCTCAGTCGGTTGAGTGTCCGACTCTTGGTTTTGGCTCAGGTCATAACCTTGGGATCCTGGGACCGACCCCCACGTTAGGCTCTACACTCAGCATGGAATCTATTGGAGATTCCCTCTCCTGTTCTCTCTGTCCCTTCCCCCTGCTCTCTCTCTCTCTCTCTCTCTCTCAAATAAATAAATAAATATTAAAAATAAAAAAGAACAAATTGGAAACTTTAGTGATATAAACATCCCAAATTTTCTGCTGGCAAAAAGCCCATAAATGCAGTCAAAGAATAAACAAATGAAACTGGAAACGAATGTGAACTCATATCATGGATAAAATATCTTCATTATACAAACACCTCCTAGAAAACAATAAGAAAATGCCAATAACTTAGCAGGCTATGAACTCAGAAGTCACAGAAAATGAAATATGAATGGTTCTTAAACCCAGAAAAAGAGGGGTGCCTGAGTGGTGCAGTCGGTTAAGCATCTGACTCTTGGTTTTGGCTCAGGTCATGATCTCAGGGTTGTGAGATCAAGCCTTGTGTCAGGCTCCACACTGAGTGTGGAAGTCTGCTTGCATTCTCTCTCCCTCTCCCTCTCCCTCTGCCCCTACCCCCGCGCCACACACTCTCTCTCTTTCACTCTTTCTCTAAAATAAATAAATAAATCTAAAAAAAAAAAAAAACCCAAAACAGAAAAAGATTCTCAGCCTCATTCGTATTAGGAGAAATGTAAATTTCAAGCACAGTGAAATCTTATGATCATTTCAATGGATATAGGAAAGATTTGATCATATTCAACACTTATTCATAAAAACTTTTAGCAAAGTAGGTATAACTGGGAATGTCCTCAAACTGATAAGAAGCATCTACAAAAAAAGCTATAGGTAATGTTTTACTCAATGTCAAAGACTGAATTGTTTCCTGCTGAGGTTGGAAGGAATACCAGGATGTCCATTCTCACCACTTCCATTCCACATCCCTCTGGGGGTCATAGTTATTGCAATGAGGCTAGAAAAATAAATAAAGTGTATAAAGATTGGGAAGGAGGAAGTAAAACTCTTCCTATTTGCAGATGATATGATTATTTATATGTAAAAAAATCCAAGGGAATCTATGGTAACTACTAGAACTAATAAATTTATTTAGCAAGTTCACAAGTTAAAAAGTTAATATACAAAATACAGTTGAATTCTTATATATTATATATTCTTTTTTAAAAGATTTTATTTATTTATTCGCCAGAGAGAGAGAGCATACTAAGCAGAGTGGTAGGTAGGCAGAGGGAGAGGGAGAAGCAGACCCCCGCTGAGCAGGGAGCCCCACGCCGGGCTCCATCCCAGGACCCTGAGATCATGACCTGAGCTGAAGGCAGACGATTAACCGACTGAGCCACCCAAGTGCCCCTATACTATATATCTTTATATAATAGCAAACAACTGGAAAATGTAATTAAAAATTTTTTTATTAAAAAAATTGTAGTCATTGTAATAACTATGACCGCCAGAGGGATGTGGAATAAAAGTGAAAATGGACATCCTGGTATTCTTTCCAATCTCATCAGGAAACAATTCAGTCTTTGACATTGAGTAAAATATTACCTATAGCTTTTTTTGTAGATGCTTCTTACCAGTTTGAGGACATTCCCATTTATACCTACTTTGCTAAAAGTTTTTATGAATAGGTGTTGAATTTGGTCAAATCTTTCCTATACCCTTTGAAATGATCATATGGTTTCACCGTGCTTGAAATTTATATTTCTCCTAATACGAATGAGGCTGAGAATCTTTTTCTGTTTTTTGGCGTTTGTTTTTTTTTTTAGATTTATTTATTTATTTTAGAGAAAGAGTGAAAGAGAGAGAGTGTGTGGGGCGGGGGTAGGGGCAGAGGGAGAGGGAGAGGGAGAGAGAATGCAATTTTTTTATTAAAAATATTTTTTTAATTGTTTTAAAAATCCTATTTGCAGCAGCAAAAAAAAATTAAATATCTAAGGGTAAATCTGTCAAAAGAAGTCTAAGATCTCTGCACTAAAAACTACAGATATTACCGGGCAAAATTCATGAAGATCTAAATAAATTGAAAAATATACCGTGTTCATAGACTGGCCGACTCAGTGTTGTTAAGATGTTAGTTCTCCCCAAATTGATCTCTGATTCAGCAGGATTTTTTTTTTTTTTTTTTGCAGAAACTGGCACTGACTTTAAAATTTATATAGAATTACAAAGGACCTAGAATAACCAAACTCATTTTTAAAAAAGATTTTATTATTTATTTGTCAGCCAGAGAGAGAGCACACAAGCAGGGGGAGCAGCAGAGGCAGAGGGAGAAGCAGGCTCCCTGCTGACCAAGGAGCCTGATGCAGGGCTCGATCCCAGAACCCCTGGATCATGACCTGAGCTGAAGGCAGATGCTTAACAACTGAGCCACCCTGGCGCCCCGAGCATCCAGCTTTTGATTTCAGCTCAGGTCATGACCTCAGGGTCCTGAGATGAAGCCTGGCATTGGGCGGGTGCGGAGCGTGGAGCCAGCTTGGGAATCTCTCTACCCCTCTCTCTGTGCCTCTCCCCTACCGACGCATGCACAAGTGCGCATGCGCGCTCTTTCCCCCACCTCAAAGAAAAAAAGTGGTAGGGGCGCCTGGGTGGCTCAGTTGGTTAAGCGACTGCCTTCAGCTCGGGTCATGATCCTGGAGTCCTGGAATCGAGTCCCGCATCGGGCTCCCTGCTCGGCAGGGAGTCTGCTTCTCCCTCTGACCCTCCCCCCTCTCATGCTCTCTCTCTATTTCTCTCTCTCAAATAAATAAATAAAATCTTAAAAAAAAAAGAAAAAAGTGGTAATGAACTACTGATACATGTAACAATTTGGAACAATCTCAGAATCATCATGCTGAGTGGAAGAAGCCAAGCACAATGCTTACGTATAACATTCTGGAACGTGCAAACTATTTTTAGTGACAGAAAGCAGATCAGGTTGCCTGGCAATGAAAAGTGCAGAGAAGGGGGGCGCTGTGAAGGGATGCAGGACAACACTGGTGGGGGTGATGATATATGTTCATCATCTTGACTGTGGTCATGATTTCACAGATTTACACACTTGTCAAAACTGCACTAGGCGTGCACTTAACATATGTGCAATTTAGTCTACCCCAATTACACTTAATAAAGGTGAAAAGGGGGGCGCCTGGGTGGCTCAGTCAGTTAAGCGTCTGCCTTCAGCTCAGGTCGTGATCCCGGGGTCCTGGGATCGAGTCCCTCGGCAGGCTCCCTGCTCAGCAGGGGGTTCTGCCTTCTCTCTCTTTCCCTCTGCCCCCCTCCCCACTCCTGTGCGCACCTGCTGAGGGAAGAGGGTCAGAGGAGAAGCAGACTCCCTGCTGAGCAGGGAGCCCGATGTGGGACTCGATCCTGGGACTCCAGGATCATGACCTGAGCCGAATGCAGTTGCTTAACCAACTGAGCCACCCAGGCGCCCAAAAATAAACAAAATCTTTAAAAAAAAAAAAGTTGAAAAGGTGGGGGGTGGGGTGGAATAACAAGGGGCTGTTTCCCACCTGTTAGACTGACAGAGATGAAAAGTGTAAGACTTCAGTTTATTCTCAGGGGTCTGCACTGATTCTCATTGCTGCCGTCAGGGGTGGAAATGGCCAAGCCCTACAGAGAGAATCAGGCGGAAGCTGAAGACAATGCCCTGGGACCCAGTAGGGCTCCTTCCAGCAAATCAACC